TATATCTCAAAAGAAAACAATGCAATTCGAAATAACTTGCTATAAACCCACTCTTGACGTATTGAAATTACTACGCCTATAACAAACTAATTTATAATCTCTAACCAAACTATAATGTCTAAGCATGTGGGGACAGGCTGTCGAGGAGAGATCCATGTAGCTTCTAAGAGAATCGATTATGTTGTCATTCATAGGTTTTACAAAGGGGTTCTTGCACTGATGTTGCAACTGCTAAGTCCAAAACCCATCTTATGAAGGTTTTGTATCGTTACTATATTCGCGGTGCATAATTACCACCGAACGTATATAATAATATGGATATAAATAATAAACTAATGGCAATCAAAAATCAAGATATTTCATATTAAATGTAAAAAAATCATCTTGTCTACCATGTCATCATTTTTATAAACATTTTCAAATTTATCAAGATTATCTAACTGAATTTCATTATTTGAAGCCAAAAGCAAATATTCACTTGCAAGATTAGCTAACCCCGGAAATGTAGTTTTTGAACTTTGCCACCATTTATAAAGATTAAAGTCTTCATCAAAAAATTGCTGATAATTAATGTAATGTTCCAATTCATCATTTGCTAAATTTTGTATTGATCCATCCAAAGTGTTATCAAACGAGCTGGTAACTTTTGAATAATAATAAGCTTGGCATTTATTTAGCACGAACTCTTAGAACCGTCATCTATGTTGTAGAAAATGTTAACATATTGTTAAAATTTAAATAAAACTTACGTCAAAAATAATACTTGATTTTAAACGTGGATCTAAAAATAAACTTATTTTCTTATGAAAATATGAATTAATTAGAAATATAAAAATGATTCAAGGACCTTGCGCTCTAAACTAAACTGAGAAAGTTCATTCGACAAAGTAATTGGAGAAATTTCGTTTAAAATATTAAAATCGTCAGTTAACAGTTTTATAATATTTCTCGAAGTGACTTTAGTATGTTGCAAAGGCTTAAACAATTGCAATAATTTAGGAAATATACTAAATGGCAAATTATCTAATAGAAGGCTTTTAAACAAACCTACTTTTTCAGTAATAAAGTCATCTTCATAACTACTATAATTATCAAGTAAAATTTTGAAAGATTACTCCATTATTGTAAGAAATGATAATTTGTGATAAAAGCAGTTACATGTGTCAATTTGCCTCGCCCTTTGAAGATTACCAATTGATGTATTCACTTCTTTTTTTATTCTTTGATCCTTCAAAAACTCTATTATTGAGTTAAAGTTATCAAAAGCATTCAGAATGGCTGTGATAATATTAGACATTCCTTGTGCATTTTTATTATCATTAGCCTATCTAAAACTGGTGAACATTAAAAGACTACTAACAAAATTCTCACTTTCGATTATTCGTAAAAATCTTGATATTTTTCTTTTATTATATCATTAAAATAATCCATATCCACCTCAAAGAGATAAAACAGGTCATATAAAATTTCTGTAGCGCTAATAAATTTCAAATTATTTAATTTCCGCTTATTTAAAATTTCGATACAATCTAAAATTAGGTTGTTAAAGTTAAACTCAAAACGGACACTCATTCCTAATAAAATTTTATGAAATTCGAAATTCTCAGTTAACCAATAACAAGTGATTACCATATAAACATTTTCAGTGTCATCTAATGTTAAATTAAATAGAAGCATAACAGATTTTGCTTGCTGAACTTTTGATTTCAATTGAAGAAACAAGTGATCAAATGCTTTATCCATTTTCTATTTTATAATGCTAGAAGTAACTTGTGAATCAATGAGTCCAGTAGATGCTAAATGATTAACAATACTAAAAGGTGATATGGAGGAAACAATAAATTTAATTAAGGGTAAGTTAACCCTCAATTCAATGTTAATAATGTCATTGTTTGATGAATGAATAGTCGTTATGGTAAAGACGATTCATTTGATTGAATAGACGTTGGAGATTTTGTTATATTATGTTTATTCTTAAGGTGACGAACATGATTAAAAGTAGAACCACGCCATGTATATTCCGTATTACATCCAGCAATCGTACATCTGGTCTTCGTTCCACTCTTCGGAACTTTAAATGGCTCAAAATACCTCCAGCAGCCTTTCTTGTTATTTTCAGAGCGTTTACGTGATTGATGAGCTTCACTATTTTCATCCTCAAGGTCAAAAGTTCGAAACGACATTATGTGCAATTTGAGAACTCAGTTTTACAATTCAGGCTTAAATTCGGAAAAATTGATATATGTATTGGTAAAAATGACTGCCGTGAAACATGAAATGAAACATAATTAGACCCCTAAATACTCAAATAAAGAAATTTTAAAATTTTTATTAATGACGTAAGTACTTATTCTGACTTGAGACGTTCTCAATCTAGAGTTTTCTGGTAAATTTAAAGTAGTGTATGCCGCGATCTGCTAATAATTTCGGTGATGCTCAAGATCAAAATTAAATCTCAAATATCAATTACTTTAATTTTATCGATTAACATCAAATTTATTATAATTCAAGCTCATTAAAACCTTTTTCAATATTATATTTTAAGTTTATAAAAAAAAAGTATAAAACTTTTATACGTAATTTATCGATATTATTTCGTAGGCATTGTT